TTATTTAGTTTTTATTTATATAACAATTAAATAAACTTATGTGTTTTGTTCTACACTGCATTTTGTATAATGCATTATTTTTTTGATTGAAATATATTTTACAGAATTATATTTGTCATAAAATATATATTTTCAGCGCATTAAATAAATATGACTGCGTGTACCACCGGTGATACACGTGGCACGGAACGTGTTAACCAGTAAGAAAATTACTATTCGCATTTGAATTTTACACATGGCAATTAGGTGATGAGAGTAATAAATAAAGCAATAAATTGTGAAGAGAGAAAATACAATAGGAAAATACAATAGAGAGAATACAATAGGATTGAAAAATTCGGTCTTATTCTTCTTCAGAAATTCTTGGCAATTTATTAACGTCATGAAAATAAATTTAAAAAAATAAAAAAAAAAAAAAAATAAAAAAAAAAAGCAATAAATAAATAAATAAAGGAAGAAAGAATGAAAGAAAAAGAAAGAAAAAAGAATAAAAAAATAAAAAGAACAATCGTTTCAAGTTTCCCTTTTAATCTGCAAAGTTAAGAAGCGAGTTCCATGGAGAAGATGGATCTTTGAACGACGTAAGTATCTATCAATGAGTCTAAAGGAAATTCAAGCGGCTAGGGTATGCTTAATTAACCGCTGTCACTCCGTATATGCGAGTCTCTTTTGCATACGTTCGCCTAATAGACTCGCATATTAAATGGGCTTTCTGCTTCGAGCAACGTACGGAGGCGAGACGATACATCTGCCCAGGTGCTATATCGTTGGGTCAATATAGCCACGCGAGTCTCCCACGGAAGTATTACCGAGGAAACGATGTAATCATGCTGTTGCTGCTGTTACTACTACTACCAACGACCAAAGAAAATAATTATATTGGAACTTCTCGTGCGTCTCGTTATTTTTTTCCCCTCGTTTTTCTTGAAAGAAAAAAAAAAGAAAAATAAAAAAAAAAAGAAAAAAAAAAATAAAAAAAGAAAAAAATACCCGCTCCAGTAAATTTTCTATTCTTTTTTTCTTTCTTTCTTTCCTTCTTTTTTTTCATCGAGATAAAAAGATCCATCGAGAGAACGAAGGAGATTGCTGTTAAATACATTTGTCCTTGGATTTCTATAGCTTCAGGAAGTTACTATATTTTCTTGATCGAAGTGTTTGAAACGTTCGAGCGACCCTTAACGTCGAAAATGCATCGGACAGCACATTGAGGGAAAAAGCTGGCAGAGGCTGCGTGTCTTTCGGTGCTTCCAAGAATGGTAGGGACCCGTCAGACCTGATCCAACAACCGTACCCACCGACTAAATTTTCAAGGCACCACTCTATCGGAAAAGGAACAGAAACTCAGCACGATTTCTCTTCTCTTCTCTTCTCTTCTCTTCTCTTCTTTTCTCTTCTCTTCTCAAGGAAGCACTCGTCCGTCCCACCTTAAAATCCGTAATTCGTTTTAGAATTTTTAGGATAATTTAGGATAGGATAAAGATTTTTTCCATTTTTCTCCTAAAAATAAATCCTCACGAATATATTTCTGAAAGAAATCATTTTTTCTCTGTAATTTTTTTCTTCTTTTCCTTTTTTTATTTCACATCCATAGAAGCAATTGTAACATGAAACACGGTAAAAAAGAAAATAAAAAGAAAAAAAAAGAAAAAAAAAGAAAAAAAAAGAAAAAGAAAAAGGGGAAAAAAAAAAAAAAAAAAAAGAAAACTTACTTTCGTTCTCACGGAAAAAAGATGATATCCTATCGTGATCTAACCACGAACGGAACTTTCTATACACCGCAAGGTCGTTTGAGGTTAAAAATGCCAAAGTTATCAAAGGATAAGAAAAAAGAAATAAAATATCTCGAGAACGCTCAAATTTCCTGATTCTACGTCGGGCTAAATAAGAAGAATGGTAACTTTACCCTCGTGGACTTTCCTTAGGCACGTAATGATAATGTACAATAATATACAGTTAATATCCGATAATTTTTTTTTATTCGACAGATCTATACGGTGTGTCAATAAAGAATCATTCGTACGTGTTAAAAAAAAAAAAAAAAAAAAAAAAAAAAAAAAAAAAAAAAAATGGGGGTGGGGGTGGGGGACACAAAATGCTTTCATCTTCGAATGATCGTAGTATATCTTCGTTTGACTTCCCCTACAATCACTTACATTCGTTCCTTATTGTCCGGACTCCGAGAGCAACCCACTCCGCATGATTTACAAACGTTAACCTCCGCAAGAAAGGATACTTTAAACTGCTCGCCCGAAGACTCTTTCGGGCGTTATTTTGTTGCGACCGAAGATTCGGCTTTATGTACCGCACCTGATGCGAAGAGCCCTCGTAAAAGACGGCAGAGAGGAGGCCCTACGTTCCTCCCGGCCGTTCTTTGTTTTAATGCACGATACGATAATATATTCCGCATTGTTCTCCTCCGAGAGAGGAGGCCGGTTTTCGCTTTCTGAGGCGGTGTGTGCCGGCAAAGATTCTCTCTCTTTCTCTTTCTTTCCCTCTTTCCCTCTCACACATTGCATCTCTTCTCCAGCATCCCTCTCGAGAATGGACCAAACGCTTCTTCTCTCTCAGAGATTCGCTCTGATATATCGACCAGTCTTCCACGATATAACCCAGGAGAGAATATATTATGTCTCGCGGATAACTTGTGCTCTAGTGCCCGTTAACACGTGCTAATTTTTGTGTTATGACACTCTTCCTTCCCCACCTCCTCCTCCTCCTCCTCTACCACTACCACATCCCTACCCCACGCATAACGGCAACTTCTATTCCTCCACCCCTCTGAAAGTATTAACGAAGGCATCTTCATCCATTGACGATCTCACCGTCTTTACCAGTCTCTATCTTTCTCTCTTTCTCTCTCTCTCTATCTCTCTATCTCCTCTCTTCGTGCTTCCAAGCAATCATATCAAATTATTCTTGGGCTCCTGTCGATCTAGAGACATTTATCAAGATAATCCGATGATCTAATTTCGATATTATATCTTACGTCTCATTATGGCAAAAATATCTGAACTGAAATTAGATCAAATCGAGATGTGGATTCAGCGTAGCGTTAAAGTAATAAATAAATAAATAAATATATATATGTATATATATATACATATATATATATTCTTTTTGAGTCGTACAGCCGGCATATAACGAATGCCGCCTGTGCTTAATACCAGCCAGGTGTTCCGAACTACCCCGTTTCCCCACCCCTTCCTGCTGTACCTTTTCGTTTGTTCGTTTGCCTGGGCCTCGACAAATTTGTCGTCGTCGTATAGTTTCTCGTTCTTCCTTTGTCTCGTCGTCGAAGACGAGAACGAGAAAATATATATATGGAAGAAAGTAAATACTTAAATATTTGTAAAAAAATCGATTACAGCGAGATTCGTTCAGTAATTCAACAAGACACAACGAATTATTACGTACGGGAACTTTTTCATGTATAATATAAAATTATATATTAAATTAATTTAGACACTTTTATTAATTATTTAATTTTCTAACGACGAACGATTAATCATAGGAATAGTATGCATTCAGCGTAAATGCGGCATAACTTTTCTTATTGCAACTCGAGGAAGGGAACAAAGGATCCTGAGACATCGCGGCGCATCCGCTATCGCAATCCCATACGCGTAGGAATGCATCACACGATGTTAGCAGAGAAAGAGAGAGAAAGAGAGGTGAGAAGGGGAGGGAAAGAGCGAAGAAAGGAGAAAAGGGAGAGAAGGAGGAGGAAGAGGAGGAGGAGGAGGAGGTTGAGGATGTATAGGAACACTGATGAGATAGTATGAGAAAAGCGCACCTCGTGACAAGGATGTACTCGTCGGAAAAATTTTTATCTCACAGTGTGATATTAAATCGTGAACGATGAACTCGAAACTGAATAACTCTAATAGAGATAATAATTATACTTGATTTTTCGTTCGATCGTTACAAAGATGAAAAAAGACGAAAAAAGGGGGGGTGGGGGAAAAGAAGAAAGAAAAGAAATATCTGACAATAAATCAACGTCGAAAGAACTCAACTGACGAGCGAAATAATTATCAGACTTTACGGTTACAAAACGACGATATGGTACTGGTGGTACATAAGTAGCAATTTGCCGAAAGGTAATCTTTGACTACCGAGGATTAGGATAGATGATTATCGCCATCGATTATTTCCAGTGTTTATAACTCGTAAATTAGTCCTCTAGCTGGTTATGAATATAATCAGTAAATGAGATAGAGATAAAGAGAGAGAGAGAGAGAGAGAGAGAGAGAGAGAGAGAGAGAGAGAGAGAGAGAGAGAGAGAGAGAGAGAGAGAGAGAGAGAGAGAGAGTGTAAAGCCGAGCACAACGCGTCTTAATTACAGTTTAGATGCTGCCTGACGTAATCCAACTCGGAGATCTTTCTCTCTCCCACCCCTTCCCTCCTCTCTCTCTGCTACTTTTGATACGGCACCGTTTCGTGATTAATCGCGCGCGCGTAACGACACACTCGGAGAGTTCATTATTATTCAATTAAAGTGAGACAACGTGCTAAGCGGGAAGCGTGAAACCACCGACTATGTAGTTGCTCGAGTTCGTTGCGGTATAACAAGGACGAATGCGAGCAAGCGGTATCGCGTACCAGTTTCGAGTACCTAGACTCTGAGAAGACAGTCACGGTCTATCGTTGGTGAAAACACATTCTTTTGCAATCAGTGACCGTTGAATATTTCTCTTTAATGAAATATGAAACGAGCAAATTACTCTTCTTTCATGTAGATGTTTTCTCTCACGTTAGGAATAAGATTTCATTTTACTAACTTAAGCGGACGCACAGACACAAATACACTAAAAGATACGTTTAATGTAAATGTGTTTTGCGGTCTGTGCTAATTACAGAGAAAGCAAGGTCTCTATCTCACTTTAGCTAACTTATTAAAATGTAAAAGAATAAATGTGGATCCTTTACGACTTAAAACTAGGGTTATTCTTTCAGATTAGTATATTCAAATGCGACAATTAAATATATTATGATTTTACCTTAACGAAAGAATGGAATTTGACTTTGCTCGGAGATACAGGCGGGCTGTTGGGCGGTCTTTGCTGGGAAGAAACAACCAAGTTCTGGACCTCCATCAAGCATCCCTTCCTGACGAATCTACTTCTAGGACTGCTCTGGGTATCCATGTCCATTTTGACTTTCTTTATTAATTTCAAATTCTCCTTGGTGTTCTGCCTGAGTATTATATGGCTCAGTCTTCTTGTATTGGCTCTCGAATCTTCTACGCAAATTCTCCTCCATACTTTTGATACCATACTTATAGAACAAAGATCCTGTGGTCCTAAGAAGGATAGAATTTTTGAGATTATCCTCCAATGATTACTCTTCTCTCCTAATAGCGCCAGAAGATCCACAGTTTTTCTACCGGTATAATCTAGCCTAGTCCTTGTACGATGTAATGCCAAAGAGAAAGCACGGTGACTGAAATCCAACCTCTTCGGCTTTATTTCTGTTATAGAAGGTATATCGACGATGCAAAGTTTACTTAGCAGTTTTTGACCCTCGACAGAAGATGCGGTATTAGTTTTTCTACCGGTAGGAGAACACGTGATGCAAGGTGCTAGAATTTGATGCGTAGAATTAGTTTCCTGGGGTGTACTCTGTGGCATAATGACTAGTTTCATTTCCACATCTTCCTCTATTGGTTCGGAGGCAATAAAGGAGGAAGATGGTACCGCCAAGGAAGGAACTGCTGGAGAAGGTGGAGGAGAAAGAATTTGCAAACTGGCAGAAGCCGGTGTTACGGGTACCGTAGTTCTCCATGTTCCATAAATACTGCTAGTAGGTGCTTCGCTAAAATCTTCATATCGAGTGGTGCAACTTGGACTGGGATGTTCTAAGCTGTGGCTTTGGTTCGAGATACTCAAGTTCGAAGTTTCCAAGGACGAGAATGTGCATTCTTGATTTTCGGAAATGACATGATCATTATTATGACTGCTATTTAGCAATTGATTAAACTTTGAACGATGACGTTGAGCGCGATCCGATTGCCAAGGATCCTGACGAATCCGATGATGCCTTTTTAAAGGAGTGACGCGCGATTTGCATCCTGCGATTATCGGAGTGTAAACACCGGAATGAGGTGTCAAGGTTAAGTAACCACTGTCAACGCTGTCATGAGAACCGTGAGAATTGTTCCTACTTATATCGAAAGCGGTATGAGCCGGTTCTCCCAAATTCACGTTGATTTCATCCTCCATCCTGTCGAATTTTCCCGCCTCTTCGTTGCCGCGAAAGACGTCTCACCGGCGTATCGCGGTGTCGACCGTAGACTACCTCTTCCTAGGAACGATTTCTAAATCGTACAAAAGCACCATATTACGTAGCACCGAACGACGCGTGTGTCCTCGGCGTACGTATGTACGTACGTACGTACGCACGAACGAACCAACGAACCAACGAACGAACCAACGAACCAACGAACGAACGAACGAACGAACGAACGAACGAACGATGAACGAACGATGAACGAACGATGAACGAACGATGAACGAACGATGAACGAACGATTCCAAATTCTTTTTTTCTTTTCTTTCCTTCCTCTTGATCTATCAGCTACTTTTTCTACGCATTACACAACCACGTTAGATCCATCGTAAAATGCCACTTACGACGCACTTTCTTCTTCTTCTTCTTCTTCTTCTTCCTCTCGTGTATGTATACAAATTGCTATTCTCTTACTTTTACCGATCTCTTATCGCTTTTGCCTTGTAATTATTATCTCACGTGCTTAGCGCGGGAAACTGCTTAGCCTGATCCTGAGTATCTCGAGTAAGATACAAATGGATAGATGGAGAGAGAGAGAGAGAGAGAGAGTGAGAGGAAGGAAGAACGAGGAGAAGAACGGGAGAAAGCAAGACAGCTCTTCGCGCGTCTGTAAACAAAAGCCTCGGTAAAAAAAAAAAGACGTATACGTCGTTCCTTGTCGCGATATTGTACCGTCAGGATAATAGAATATAATCGTGGTCCATTATTTTCGAGCGACTTCGAAACGTCATTCCGAATTAATCGACTTTTTCACTTTCGAAAGAGTAACATACGACGCACTAACACACTATTCTCATCACACACACATAAACACACACTTTCTCACACAAGGCCGTAACCGCCACACTAATACTCGGTGCTCCGCTCCTGACACTGCTACTGCTGCTGCTGTCTGCCTGGCTAAGGCAAGAAGCGGGAAATACACGCACGCGGCACCGCTACCCCTTCCTAGCGGATACCCCCCCACACGCCTTGAGGACACTTCGAAACTTTGAAAACTGTTTATCCGTTGTCCCACCACGAGTCGCTCGACGATCTTTCGACCAATCCCGTGCTCCGTCTTATCCCGCCGTTCGTTGCCAAGTGCTACGATTGGTCTATTGCCTTTCTTGCGACGTCGCCAGCAGCGTCCTCTGAAGGACGACATGATAATTCAACGTCGCTGTTGCCGAGGGAATTTCGGAGGACGCAATTGTTCGAGCTTCTACGACGCCAGTTTATTCAATTTTCGGAAGAAGCCGGCTCTCGCGAATGGTAATGGTAATAATTTCTTATACATTTAACCAAATATTTCGAGACACATTAAAAGTGTTCTCACTCTTTGCGATTGTTACAATATCATTTCGACAATATCATTTTGTCTTTAGTCTTTGTTCTTTTCTTGATCGATTGCGAGTACCATTTCTTTGTTCGTAATAATATGAACGATATTATAAGATTTTAATGTTTATTCGATCGAAGACATATCATCGTTTTATGTACTCGTTAGGTTCTTTAACATATACTATACGAAAATGATGGTTTTTTTTTCTTCTTTTTTTTTTTATTACATATATATTTCTTCGTTAGAATAGTACGTAATATTTTATCGATCGAGTAATATAGTATGCCGATATATAATTTTCCGATTTTAAATTGACATGTCGGGATATATACAAATTTTGTATATTTTCGATATTTCGATTTGTATAATTTCGATATTTCGGAAAAGGATAACGGAATTCGACCGTTAATTTTTTGCTTGGTTTTTTTTTTTATTTTTTAATTATATTTAATTATCACGTATCACGCCACCTATATGCAAGTAACTGGTCGGATACTCGATTTTTATTGGTCGTCGATAATTTCGTCGGTTGACCGACGAATTCAGGACTTGTGATACCATATTTGGATCAAAATGTTTTAAATCGAAGTATTTTTTTTTTATACGTGAATTTTAACGTTCACATTTTTTTTTCTTTTTTTTTTTTTTTTTTTTTTTTTTTATAATACAGAAAATGAATCGAGTCTGTTCCGTTGTTAATAAAACTAGCAAAAAGTTGAATTCTAAGATATGCTTTAATATTATTATATGTTCAATTTTTATATACAGAAATATTTGCGCCGTAATTGCAACAATTCAATGTAAATTTATTTGTACTTTCTTTTTTTTATTTTTTATTTTATATATATATATATGTATATATATATATATATATATATATATATATATATATCCCTTTAGCCTATATTTTTTAATTTACATTAACAACGCATTAAAATGGATCATACAAAACAATGTAAGCAATATATGTTTTTATTTACAATAAATAAATTACATTTTCATTGATAGTTTAACAGAGTCATAGAATTAGGAGGAAAAGTGATTGTAACGCTATCAAAATGTTGGCACTTTTATAATCTATAAAAAGTGATACTATACCTTTAGTATGCTATTATAAAATCTTACAACGGTCCCATTATCTGATATCGACGACAAATAGTCGTACTTGGTTCCAATTAAACTGGTTCAGAATGAAGTTCTTAATATATTAACTAGTGTGCTAACATAGCAGGGAGTTATAAAAGCATATCATTGCAACCACTTACAGTAGTTTTAGTTATGCATTCCGGTAAATATTTATAAAATCTTAAAGATGTATATCGTTTATAGTACATATAAAATATCATTTGCCAACAATTTTGTAAGTGTTACCTTCAACATATATGTAAAATTTAAATGATTGATAAAAATATAAAGGGAGTTCTTTAAAAGTTTATAGTGAAATCAGACGACAGAAGCCAATATCATGAAAGTGTAGTTATAAAATATAGTTTGAGAAACAATTTACAAGTTGTAAATTCAAATTTACTTTTTTTCCTTTTCTTTTCTTTTTTTTTCCATTTTCTTTTTTCTTTTTTTTCTTTTTTTTTTTTTTTTAAATGTTTTTCTTAAGATTTTGTAATACTGAGTTTGGAAGAAGCCAAGCCAACTCGCAAGAAATTTGAAAATGATTCTTATTTATCATCTGCATAATTTTTTTTTTTTTTTTTCTATTGGATTAGATACTACTTCACATTCTTACATGACTTTTGAATATAATTTTATACTAGCTAGGTTTTGTGTTTATTTTTTTTTTCTCTTTTTCTTTTTTTGAAAATATAATCCAATGCATAGACTAATCTCTAATATAAAATATATTTGGAGTATCAGTTCAAATGCATAGTTTATGAAAGCTGTATGTATATTATATTGTTTTAGACAAACAGTTAATCTAATTAAATATTTATTACTTAATATTGTAATGTGAAATAATATAATATTTTCATAAAAACATATATAATTTGATCTACTTTTGCACATTTATCAAAAATTGAGAAAAAAAAACAGAAAATATTTGTAAGCTCAATTCAATGTAAATCTCTGATATCAAAATATTTCTTATATTCAAGATAAAAATGACGAGAGATGTGGATATTCGTTATAGGAATATACTTAAATGAATAATAGATTCGTAATGATATGTAAATGACATCTTGTCATGTTTACATTGAAAATTTTTAATATATCTATAAATGTAGTTATTAAAAAATATATATCAAGATTGTTTTTTTTTTCTTTTTCTTTTTTTTTTTCTTTGTTTCCTTTTAAAAGTCATCCTTTTTATAATCACATTAAGCTAGTAAAACAATAAACTTAGCACTTATATAATCAATGCTTATAGTTTCAATCATTTGAAAATTTTGAAAGTGCATGAAAATGATGTAATATGTCTCGATAGAACGATACCTCTGCGTGAAGTATTAGATCTCTTTCTTTCTTTCTTTCTTTTTTTTCTTTTTTTTTTTTTTTTTTTTTTCTTTTTTTTTTGTGTCGTTATCATATCAGATAATTTTCATGTCAAATATATAAATTTCTATCTTAACTTTAAGGGAAGAAATGTTGGCTTGGCATTTTGGGCACACACACACACACACACATGTACACATTTTGAAAGTATACATGGCCTGCAGTTGGAGCTCAATTAAAATAGACACATTGAATGCTACGTTAGACTATGTTACATTGATATCTTTTAGTGACAATCACTTTGACTGGACCTCATTGTATATAATTGTGCGGTATACAACCTGTATTGAAACTATTTCAAACTCAAGCACGTATAGGTAGAAATTCTGCAAATCGAAAACTGATTATGCTTTAGGAAAGACATCGCGTACTTGAGTGCTTCATTAACATTATCTCGTTCTCTTTCATAGATAATTAAATATAAGATACCATAGTTGTCATTTATGGATGATACTTTCGAAAAATTAATTTTGGAAAAATTATAAAAAGAATCAGTGAATCGATAAATTGATTCGGTAATAATAATGGTTAACATACATTAAGCATAGTTAATTGAACACTGTTTATGTGATTTCTATGAGTTTCATATTTTTTCAAAGGAAAAAAATTATAATCTATTAATTTTTCAAATATTTTTCAAGAGCTAGTAAACTCGTAATAGCAAGACATTTTAAAACTCCATACGAAATTAAAACAACCGACGCTACTGTTTCTGATTATCATCATCAGTTACTTAAATCTACAATAATAACTAACACATGATATTTTTATATTATACATAAATATATACAAACGTGTCTTATTTCAACGCTTATTCAGAACTAATATCATACATGTGTGTGTGATAACGCGCATGTGCGCTTGCATGTCGTTTTATGTACCGATAAGCAATATTTCATATTAACTTGTAACATCTGAATACTCTTAATAGTTGCACACAACATTTGCACTTTAAATACAGAATCACATACCAGTCCATTGCACGTCATATTGCTACAACGTTATTATATATAAATATATTATTATATATCAGAATTATGTTCTTTCGAGTGATGTATTTAAAGATTTAAAGAGAAACATTGTAAAGCCTTAGATGAGGACTATACAAGCATTTACAATGTTTATGGTTTCATGGTAGAAATAAGCATATATATATATATATATATGTGTATATATATATATATAAGTTATTGGATATCTTTTAAAACCTTTCATTTTATAACTCCTTTTTTATTACCTCCTTTTTTGTGTCCTATTTATATTTTGCTGCTATATTAGATATAATGGTAATATAGTTTCGTCTCGCAATTATATTTTATGATAATCATGTACTCGTTGAAATTCTTCTACTTTTTTTCAAACTATTTATTATCATGGCGTCTTTAGCATATTTCCAAATTTATCGTTAGATCATTAACAATTAATTACTTTTGGTCAACATCATTCACTGTACATATTCCGTATAGTACATAGAAACTTTTCTCCCAAAATGAATAGAATTTAATGTTAGACCATAACATTTTAAAGAAAGATTCTGATCAAAATACAACATCACATTAAATAATGTCTTCTTTTAATAATGATTAATTTGTCAGAATTGCAATGCTTTCATAAAAGTCCATCATCTTAAAAGGGCCAACACGTACGTTTATGTAATATAGTATCTCTTATTGAATATTTGCTGATGTAGCAGATAATTTTGGCACTATGTATCTCCTATCTTTTGTCGATTGTGATCTTCTCTAACAACACGTTCCTCCGCAGAAATTTTCTTCTGAGTATTCTCTTTTTCCCTACATTTATTCGCACCTCTATCCCCGTGAATATTTGTACTAGACTCCGTTTCAATATTATGTTCAACAAAACAGTGCACTTGCAATTCATTTACATTACGCATAGACACTGGACAGACTTGGCACTTATATGATTGTAAATTATTTTCTGGTGAAACTGTCGATCGGTTTGCGTTTTCCTTCATACCATATTCCCGTTTCTGTTGATTGAATTGCGAATTAATATGATGAACGTCCACCATTGATTTAGGTTCTTCAGTTGCTATTGGCACATGATATGGTCGAGACATTTCCGCATCCGTAGTCACTTTCACGGGAAACGAATAAATTGGATGTTGAGATATAGGTTCACCTTCATCGGAAGACGTTTCACCACCGCTAATAGGTTGACTTTGAACTACCTCTGTATCCCATTGACCCATTTTATTTGGATCCTTTTCGCAAAGTCTTTGTGCCAAAATCTGTTATCAGATAATATATTACGATTCTCAATATCTTGTAATACATTTTATTAT